AATGTCTTGTATAAGGTTTTGAGCATGGGGTTATATAAAATAACTCTTTTGACAATGGGGCAAGTGAAGTAGAGTTCACCTTTTTCTGTGAACTTCGTATATGATGCAAAAGTCTTGTCAGCACTATGCCCAGCCGCCTTTACTTTCCTTAACGTGGGTCAGGTACCCATCAGAGCTGGGTGGACTCAGGGACGTCCTACTGACATGAACCGGGTATTCAAACTCGAGGCTCTCGAGTTAACAGTCGCATGATCTGTCAACAAACCGATCCGTCCCACCAACAGCTTATACAAGCATCAAATCAAAGCTTACCATGATCAGACTTACCTATGTATAGCACAAAATGACAGTAAAATCCGCGGTCGATTTTTACAATGTCTGACGCTTGTAATTGTGACAAACGTCCAACGTTGTCTGACATAGTGTCTGCTTGCCAAGATTCTAAAATACTATTCACTGTTTATTTTCCTACAACAATACATGTTATTTGTACGATACTGTTTTAAAGTTATATGTGTTTTCTTCTTCTTCTTCGTTCTTAATTTTTAGTGTTGGAAGGGATCGAGCCTTATCTGCTAGAGGGATTGAACTCGAATTTATCAACCATTAGCTTTAGCCAACTCGACCACGCCTCCATCACAATTAAGGATACGTGTCAACTGGTTATGAGCCATTGAGGCCATTGACTCCGATTTCGGCCTGCTTTTCTTTTTGGATTTGCTTCAATAGCCTTTGTCCAACCAAGAACAAACTACAAGGCAGCAGTTGATTAATTTTGGAGTTGTCTCTCCTAGAAGAGTGGCTGTCCCCAGCTAACGAGCCTCATCTGCCTGAGGGTTCGAACTCGAGACTTTACGGTTTAGCAACCATGAGCTTTACCAATTCAAAGTAGACATGCTTTTGGTATTTTTTAAATTTAATTTTAAATATTCAAGACAATAATATCTATTTAAGCACAATTCACATCTAACATAAAATGTAAATGCAGTGCTATTATTTCAATAGTGAAATTCTTTAAACACAAAGACCTACCACTTTAACATTTGATTAAATTAGCTATATAAGGTATTGTCGCATGCTAATATAGAATACAAAAGAGAAATAAAAACCAGAAATTTGCGAACATTAACACACGATCAACTGTCCATAAACTAAATATTTGTGAAGCGGACTTACATAAAATTAAAATTGTGAAAAAAAAAATTAAATTTAATATTCTTAAACCTACTTGTTTCTATTCAGAAATGTTACTCAGTGATTATGGGCTATTTTTGTAAACACGTAAAGGAAATTCTTGTTGATAAAAATATCATGTGCGTACTCAATGCATGTGAATTTACACCTATTGATTTGAGCTCACACTAAGGGAGACTAGTAGTAGCTTTAGGGTAAACCAAGTGTATTTATATCACTTAAGAATACTGACATTAACTTGATGCTTGATGCAAACAGAAACAAAGCTACACCATAAGCTTATAGGCCTATATATATATATATATATATATATATATATATATATATATATATATATATATATATATATATATATATACATTTCATTTGCCCAATACATTTCTCCCGATATCAGTATGTTTAAGGGGTCGGCGTGGTCGAGTCGGTAAAGCTCATAGTTGCTAAACCGAAAAGTCTCGAGTTCGAACCCTCGGGCAGATGAGGCTCGTTAGCTGGGGACAGCCACTCTTCTAGGAGAGACAACTCCAAAATTAAACAACTGCTGCCTTGTAGCTTGTTCTTGGTTGGACAAAGCAACCAAAAAAAAAAGCAGGCTGAAATCGGAGTCAATGGCCTCAATGGCGCATAAACAGTTGACACGTAACGCTTAATTGTGTTGGAGGCGTGGTCGAGTCGGCAAAAAAAGCTCATGGTTGATACATTCGAACAAAGTCTCGAGTTCAAACCCACTGGCAGATAAATCTCGATCCCCTTCAACACTAATAATTAAGAACGAAGAAGAAGAAGAAGAAGTATGTTTAAAGCGAGATTTTTTTTTGTTTTTCAATACCTAAATTATTATTACTATTTAAAATTTTTAAATTAAATCTATTTTTTTTTTAAATTGTGAAGGGGAATGCTAAAGGTATAGCTGTTTGATTTGGCGAGTCTCATTGTACTCTACTTATCATGCAGGGTGCTAATAATATTTATAATATTATTTTTCTTTAATCCCAAATTTATTTTAGCTTTAGTGTTAAGCCCATACCCCCTCAACGCACTCCAGCGGGGAAAAAATACCCTTCTAGTTTTTTTTTTTTTTTAAATCACCGTTTAATTACACATTTGCATTTTCAGGTTTGAAAATAAAATTGTAATCAGATGTTTTGTTTTAGATCTATGTATAAGTAAACCATCTTAAATGAATAAATGTATATGTCAGAAAGAGGTATTACTATTGTAAATCTGTACCAGTCCTCTTAAGCTGATGATGAAACTGTAATACGAAAGCCAACATGGCAAGACAAACAGACGCTGTAAATTATATGTCTGAGGCACACACACAAAAAAAGAAATTCAAAACCTGTCAATCAAATCTGTATGTGACCACCTCCACCTTACGACTGTATGTAATTTGACAATAAAACGATTGGCAGTAAAAAAAAATCACAATCGTCACTCATTTCTAAATGATTTCTATAACACAGCTTTAATAAGCCATGTTCTTCCGTTGTTGTTATATATATACGACGCAGTAGGTTCCTTACATCGTTGGCCTAGTATTTTACTTTTATTTCTTAATTAAGATGCGCCTCTACCATTCTATTGAACTGTCTTTCAACCTGTAACCTGGTCACATGAACTGCGAACCATCAGATGAATCGAGCAAATTATGACCTCACACCACTCCCAAAACTTTACCATCTTTGGTAGACTAAATTGTTCTTGGTCTAACCACAGTGTAAATAACATGCCGACTTTAAAAAACCTGGATCTAAATATAGAATATTCAAATACCCTTACCACGTCAAAAGTGATATTACATTGAGCGGGTTTTCCCGATTTAATACGTGTTCCATCGTTTCACCATTACTTGAAGAGAAGGATTAATTTTTTTTTATTTCCACACAGTCATCGCCTGTCTTACGTGGCCTAAGCTGCCCAAAACAGATTCAGGGTGGAGAAGTGTAGCGACAGCCCTCTGCTCATCAAGGGCTCCAAACATGTAGGTCAAGATATAGAAAAGCTGTCTTTGTGGATCTTTGCAAGCAACTTCAATACAGCGAACGTAATGAACGTAATGTTTCTTTGAAGAGAACGTAATCTGCTTACACAAACAAGCGATTTTCGACAATCACTGTCTCTCACACACTTTCACTTTTTTTTCTCCGGGGAGGGGGGGGAGCACTTGAAATTTTCGGGAGGGTGGACCAAAAAAAATTTCCGGCGGGGAGGGCGGACACTGTTAAAAGTATATATTTTCTATATAAATTCGCCCCCCCCCCCACCCATCCGAAGAGATGCCTGGAAGAAACACTGCACTTAGCGTTTTATGTTTTGAGCTATACAAATTTAAAGTGCTTGAAAATGATTTACAACTTTAAGACTCAAGCTAGAAATTCCGTATGGAGATACCTCGAGTGCCATCAGCACTTGAAAAATACCAGATTGTACGAAATGAAATATTAAATGGTTGATAATTGTCCAGCTTGCCCGCTCTGTTTAACAATTAAATGGATGTAAATGATTGTTTTAAACTGAGTTTTTGAAAACTTAACATACGTGCCAATAGTTTTGAGGTTGATATACTTTGTTACTTGGGAGTGGGGAGGGAGGTGACAACACGAAGTGCCGCACCGGATGAAACCCGACCTAGCGACGCCATTGAGTATTACCATGCATTTAACCTATAAGTTTGATTTGTACAAAGCTTTTAATTCTGTTTTGTAAAAAAGAAGGTTTAAAAACAAATACAATTTTTTTTCCTATAACAAGCTTTTTAAATGCACTAAAAATACGAAAATAAAACTAATTTGATGTCTTTCACAAAAGCTTTGGTCGCTAAAATATGCAAAAGATCTCATGAGCGACCAAAGCTTTTATGAAAGAAAGCAAATTTGCTTTATTTCTTATAGACATAAAGTAATTGAATAATTAAAATATTAATGGATACATTATAAATATTCAAACCTAAGAAAATTTTAATCGTTAATTGTTGTAGGATATTTGTAATGAACGTCTATAATAAAATAACACATTTACATATCACTTGTCCGAAGCAGTATGGCAATCTTTAATAAACCGGGAGTGATCTCCCCTAAACTTTCTCGAATATTCTTATATGAAACAACAGGGGATGGCAACTCGGTATATAGGCACGACTTTTAATCCATTTTAAATACTTAACCTTTTATAAATAGAATAAAATCTTGTAGAAAAAAGAATTTCACACCAAGTGAACGCCAAATAAAGATATTCATTAAGTGCGCAATATTATTAGTACTTTATAAATTTACATGCGTTTTTTGGGAAATCGGAAATAGCGAAAATTAGTACTTCCGGTCAACGGAAATTATTCAAAATTTGATAGAAGGTAGAGAATTAGATCTTTTACTTACATGTGAACTTTCATTTAACTATCTGAAACAGTACTCAAGTTATACGCTTTTGAAAGATTCAAAGTAGAAAACGTACCACTTCTGGTTATCGGAAATCGCTCAAAAGTTGATACGGATCTACGATTTTGATAAAATACTTATATATGAAATTTCATTAATCTAGCTGTAACGGTACTCAAGTTATCGTGTTTACACACACACACACACACACACACACACACACACACAGACACACAGACATACGGATAAGATTGAAAAATTATGTTTTTCCGTATCAGTGAGGTGTAAAACGTCGAGATTTGTAAAAATCTCGATTTTTTTTTGCACGATTACAATACTTTCTCTATACTACGTATATACGAGAAAATAAACACCAATGTACTGAACAGTTATTGCCGAAAATATGCAAAATTAATAAAAAAATTCTTGAAAACCTACCTCAAAGTTTACACAGGAACAGGACAGAGCGTATTTAATTACTGCCTTTACATTTATAACAAAACAAAATTACAAACAATTTTTATAACAAAATACATTTTTAATAACTGTGCATCCTTAAATTGTAAACCGCTTCTCTACATAAATTGCAGATGATAGTCATCTTGACGTTTTGTGCTTGTACGTTTAGAAGATCGCAAACTTGCTTGAACGTCGGAATGAAACATACGATACAGCATTGATTTTCTTGCCTCTTCCACCTAACAAAATATTAATGGATGTTAATGTATTCATATATATATATATATATATATTATATATATATATATATATATATATAAATAAATAAATATATATATATATATATATATATATATATATATATATATATATATATATATATATATATATATATATATATATATATATATATATATAAATAAATAAATAAATAAATAAATATATATATATATATATATATATAATATATATATATATATATATATATATATATATATATATATATATATATATATATATATATATATATATATATGTGTGTGTGTGTGTGGGGGGGGGGGTGGGTGGGTGGGTGGGTGGGGGGATCCGACTGCAAAAAAACGTTTGGAAATAGATAAGATATCTCCTAGAAAAGTTTCTGCTAAAACAAAATTCAAATTTTGGAGGGGCGGAGCCCCAGTAGCGTGTGATTCACCAACGACTATCTTGGCACCTGATTGTGCACAAGATTATGCCAAACTGCACCAGGTGCATCCTCCGACACCGTCAGGTGACCCGGAGAGCCTTGTGCTCCCCCGTGAGCACCATGGCGCTTACAGGTGTTTTAAAGAGTGCCACACACTAGTGACACGACGTTCTACAATAATAGTTTCCTCCACTGGATCAGGTTCGTTAACCAGCAGTCGGATGACGTGGATCTATTCCGGCTCCCCTTTGAGCACTATGGCGTCTACGATCGTTTTGAAGAGCAACCTTCAATAAGGGAACACGATGGTCCTCTGTATTCGATGACTAACCTGAATCAGTGACGCCCCCAGTGCCCCTACGGTAATGTAACCGGTAGCTCCCTAGAGCGCTCACTTACGCGCCTGACACTTGGGCGGTCGTCGATGTTCTACCTCACTGTAACTAAGAGTGGTTAACTTACACTCAAAGACATTCATACAACACGCATTGTGGCATCTTGACGGTAGTGTGGACAAACAGCGCCTTACAACTATGATCCAGTAGCGCCTGATTTTTTATATTTAAATAAAAATGTTTTAAATAAACCGTGAGTGATCTCCCCTAAACTTTCTCGAATATTCTTATACAAATCTACGGGGGATGGCAGCTCGGGATATAGATAATATTTAAAATCCATTTTTAATTACTTAAACTATTAAAAATAGAATAGAATCTCGTAGAAAAAAGAATTGCACATCAAGTGAACGCCAAATAAAATGTGTATAATAGTACGGAATATTATTGGTACTTTATAAATTCACATGCGTTTTTTGAGAAATCGGAAATAGTCTAAATTACTACTTCCTGTCAACTGAAGTCACTCAAAATTTGGTAGAAGGTAGAGAATTAGATCTTTTATTTATATTTCAAACTTTATAGTACTCCAGTTATAGGCTTTTGAAAAATTGAAAGTAGAAAAAGTTCCACTTCCGGTTTTCGGAAATCGCTGAAAAGGTGATACGGATATACAAATTTGATCTAATACTTATATATGATACTTCATTAACCTAGCTGTAGCGGTAATCAAGTTATGGTGTTTACAGACACACATCCACACAGACACACACACACGGACAGAATTGCAAAGTCCAGTTTTTCCAACTCGATTACGCGTAAAACGCCGAAATTTTAATAAATCTGGATTTATAATTTTTGCCCGATTAAAATAAGACACCTATACTCCGTTTATGATGAAGTAATGAGAAATAAAACGGTGGAAACTGTCAAAATTTCATGTGATTTTTGTGCTCGATTATAATACTTTCTCTATACTCTGTATACGAGAAAATAAAATACACGATCATTAACGCGTTGATGAGTCCCTTCTTAAATATTGCGTCCTTCTGTGTATTGGTCCACTGCTTTTTAACTTTGTGTAACGGTACTTTGCTATTTAGGGACCATATAACTGCGTTGTATAAATTACCTGTTTGCTTACAGCCTTGTTGTACTTGATCTCATTGACAAAATGCTCACAGTTGTACGTTTCAAGACTGTATTTACATGGACCGATTCTAGCTTCAGCTCTTTTCACAATCTCTGCAGCGCTATAGGGGGATTTTTGACTGTGTGAATAAAAAAAAATTCGCATTAATGTTTACCAAAACAGCCTCGCACTTTGTGGAATTACCTGTAAAACTTCCAAGACCTTGATAATAAAAAATTGTTGTAATTATGCTCGAGTATTTAAATAAGTGTATCTTTAAATGTATTTCTTGAAGGCAAGTTGAAAAAGCTCATATTAGCAATTAATATAAAGCAAACATAATATGCTGATTTTATTTAGAAATGTCTTTCATACATTTCATGAACGTTATTTACAGAAGACACGTTCATTAAAATCAACTACTAATTGATATCATTAATGAAACCACAACATCTAATGGAAATAGAGACATCTTTATTTGTCGTTCAGTAATGAATCGATTATGTTTATATTAGAAAAAAGATTACCCTAGTGCATGACGGTCAATTGTTAGTAATTTATTCTTACTGTGTAATTATAGCTCTCTTAAACATTTTATATTCAGCTCATTTAAGTTAAATGGATTTTGGGCATTGCCTATTTACGAGAGCGTAAACACATAAATTGGTAAAAAAATAAATCCGGAGTGATCTCCCCTAAACTTTCTCGAATATACTTATATAACACTACGGGGGATGGCATCTCAGGATAGAGCCATGATTATTATCAATTTTTACATACTTAAGCTTTTTAAAATAGAAAAGAATCTCGTAGAAAAAAAAAGAATTACGCACCAAATGAACCGCAAACAATGTGTGTATAATAGTGCGGAATACTAGTACTTTATAACTTCAATATGCGTTTTTAAGAATACGAAAAGAACTATTTCCGGTCACCAGAATTGAGTCAAAATTTATATGTAAAATTTTGTCTCTCGATATCAAAACAGTATTCAAGTTATCGGCTTTTGAAAAACCAACTTAGAATAAGTTCCACTACCGGTTAATGGAAATCACTGAAAAGTGAATACAAAACTACTTCTTCGTTCTTAATTTTAGTATTGAATGGGATTCCCTCCGACACAATTAAGTATACGTGTCAACCTGTTATGCGCCATATAGGCCGTTGACTCCGATTTCAGCCTGCTTTTGTTTTTTGGTTTTCTTCCATTGCTTTTGTTTTTTGGTTTTCTTCCATTGCCTTTGACAAACCAAGAATTGCAAGGTAGCATTAGCTTTACCGACACGACCACGCCGACCCCTATTTTACCTTTCAGTTTGTAGGTTTTAATACGATATTTAAAAAAGTATCACTCAAAGAGAGATTTATTATACTTCTGATTAGGAACAGCTATATTATACATTTGCATCATTTAACATAGACAAATAAGACATTTGTGAATAAAAGAAAAGAATGACGTAATAAAATACCTTGTGGCAAGGCCCCAGAGAATACGGAGCACGTCATTCAAGCCTGTTCATTATATAGTCAGGCACGAACCAAACACTGGCCCCTACACACCCCACTCAAGGAAAAAACTATATGGGGCACCCGCTGATCTGGAGACCACAGTCTAGTTCATACACGAAGTTGGACTTGTTGTTTAAATCCTCCATCATATACCAAATTAAGAACGAAGAAAAAGAAGACATAGCATCTGATTAATTAAATTAATTAAATAGACTCACTCCCAATTAGCCAACTCAGCTTTACTGTCGGCTGCAACCTCAAAAAAATCCTCCTCTGTTACCTCAGCGATGTCCTCGGGTACACCGGAAGCAGAAACAGCGTACTTTTTGCTACTTTGTGACAAGGCACTTATGTCGGTCAAGTCGACCTTATCTGACACTAGGTGGATCACTTTTTCATCACCTAGTTTATACAGGTGTTTAAACTATATATGCATTTACTATTATTAATAAGTCTAACATTATAAATTAGTTGGCATAGTCAGGGGCGGAACTACAGTGCCGCCAGACCCCGCAATGCGGGGGGTGGGGGGGGGGGGGCACGCCATTTAGGGACCCATTGGCGACCATAATAATTTTTTATAGCTAGTAAAAATTAATTTTCTTGCATTTTTTTACTAGATGGGTTGATTTGAAAAGAGATTACTGTAGCTGTGGTTGGATTATCTTTATTCTATAGACACCATCCCACGCTCTTGTATATTCTTTTTTCCTTTGTTTTTAAACCACTGTGAAAGCCGAGTCCTCTTACTCCTACAATCAAACTTATCAAAGATTAGCAAACGTTCAAACCACTTCCATGACTTATTTCCCTTTTTAAATAGTCAAATAGGGATGCTCATAAGCTCCTTTTAATACATGTGTACTTAACAAATTGAAAAGCAATTACTTCTCTTAATTATTTTTTTTATAAAGTACTTACTAAGGAATGATATTGTATGAAAAGGAAATGTATTTAAACTTAGTAATATAAATACAAAAAAAAAACAACATAAAAATAAACATAAGACGAGACACCATTACTTATACAAAGCTTTCAAGTTTTATATTCTTTGGACCGACTTTAGGTTATGATGCATTGTAGCTGAGAAAATAAAACTGATTTTCACAAAACACACTAATGCACACATGAATCTTAAGTTGCTTTGCAAAGTATGTCGTCAATAATTATTTTTAAAATGAGCCGAAAAAAAAAAAACTAATGCACACATGACCTTATGTTGTAATTTGTTTTAATTGAAAAAACAATGTCCCCCAAAAACACGAACAGGCCTGCAATGAGTATCCTATGTTCGTATTTTGCATTTGAATATATATATATATATATATATAATATATATACAGTGGCGTAGCGAGGTCGGGTGTCACCCGGTGCGGCACTTAATGGTGTCCAGAGGCATAGCGACCCTTCCCGGGGACAAATTTTCGATTTGCAACCCCCCCCCTCAAACTTTCGATTTGCACCCCCCCCCCTAAAGTTTTTCTGTATATATTTTGCTATTTTTTTGCCTTGGTGTCACCCCCCTAAATGGTGTCACCCGGTGCGGTCCCCGCGCCCCCCCCCTCGCTACGCCTCTGTATATATATATATATATATATATATATATATATATATATATATATATATATATATATATATATATATATATATATATATTTATATATATATATTACATATATAAATATATATATATATATATATATATATATATATATATATAGTATATATATATATATATATATATATATATATATATATATATATATATATATATATATATATATATATATACATATATATATATATATATATATATATATATATATATATATATATTATATATATATATATATATATATATACATATATATATATATATATATATATATATTATATATATATATATTTATATATATATATATATATAGTATATATATATTATATATATATATATATATATATATAAATATATATATTTATATACATATATATAGGGGGGGGGGGGCTAAACAATTTTTTGCGGGGGTGGCCCTTTTTTTCTAGTTCCGCCTCTGGGCATAGTAGTAAAAAGATATGTTGAAAACGTGATTAGTTTAAAGAAGGGGGTATGAGAGTGTGGAAATAGTGAAAGAGTGCTTTGTGTGTTGCAGTGTAGATTACAGACCGTTGTCCAATAAGAAATTGAAATTGAGCCATCTAGTTTAACATAAAAAATAACGATACCTACCAATGTATATAGCAAAATGAGAATACCATAAAGTACGTTTAAATTTTACTATATCTCCAGGTTGAAGCTTAGCAAGCAGTTTTTTGTTTTCCTTTCTGTAAGACATTCTGTTTAAATTAATACAGTCGCATCAAATGTATATATATATATATATATATATATATATATATATATATATATATATATATATATATATATATATATATATATATATATATATACATATTACATTACATGCATTCACTTATATTTTTCTAAGCATCAATATTTGAGCTGCAATTAAAAGCGTCTGTTTGTTTTTAATACTTTTTTAAAAAATATTAACATAAAATATGATTTTATCCGGCTTTTCTTTCTGGATTTGATTCTACAGCCTTTTTCTATCCAAGATCAAACTACAAAGCATCAGTTGCTTGATTTTGGAGATTTCTCTCCCGTACTTGTCGCTAACTATCAAGCCTCCTCTGCTCGGGGGTTTGAACTCAGAATGTTTCGGTTTACCAGCCTCGAACTTTACGGGCTCGACCATGCCGACCCCAACAGTCTTTGATTAATACCAAACAACGCCGGATACTTAAAATAAAGCAAAAATAGTAGAAACAGGAATAAAATGCTAATAAGATCAAAATACTATAAAGGTTCAAGGCATTCATTTTGATAATTCGAGAACAATTTACTTTAATAAAAAAATATAACCTTAGCTCTAATTTGGGATACACTCACGTTTAGTTCTATCGCCTTTTGGTCTTGGATCTTGCAGGATTATGCTGTGTACACAACCTTTATGAAAACAAGACACAACATATTTTAGAAAGACTCGAAAGATCAATTAATAATTTAACGAATATATAACTTGTAACATTTATAAATGTAGTTAATTCATGAACTTTACAACATTAAAAAAAAAATTCTTTTAGTGAATATAATATAGCCTATTAAAAAAGCGGGAGTGATCTCCCCCTAAACTTTCTCGAATATTCTTAGATAAACCGACGAGGGATGGCACTGGAACTCCAGTGCAGTCGAGATATGGACATTTTTAAAAAAAAATCTAGTTTTCTTGTAATTACAGAGTATAGAGGAAGTTTTGTAATAATGCACAAAAATCACATGAAATTTTGACAGTTTTCGCCGTTATACTCCTCAGCACTTCATCGTAGTAAAATCGGGCAAAAATTATAAATGAAGATTTATCAAACTTTTGGCGTTTAATGCATAATCGAGTCGGAAAAACTGGGCTTTGCAATTCTGTCCGTATGTCTGTGTGTGTGGATGTATGTATGTCTGTGGACAGGATAACTTGAGTACCGTTACAGCTAGGTTGATGAAATTTCATACATAAGTATGATTTCAAATTTGTTTAAACTTTTCGGCAATTTTCGTTAACCAGAAGTGGAACTTATTTTACTTATAGTTTTTCAAAAGCCTATAACTGTTTCACATAGATAAACGAAATTTCATATCCAAGTAAAAAATCTAATTCTCTGTCTTCTGTCAAATTTTTAGCGATTTCCGTTTGACCGGAAGTAGTACTAAATTTGACAGAAGGTATAGAATTAGATATTTTACTTACATGTGAAATTTCATTTATCTATCTGAAATAGTACTCAAGTTATAGGCTTTTGAAAAATTCAAAGTAGAAAAAGTACCAATTCCGGTTATCGGAAATTGCTCAAAAGTTGATACGGATCTACGATTTTGATAAAATACTTATATATGAAATTTCATCAACCTAGCCTTAACGGTACTCAAGTTATCGTGTTTACACACAGACAGACACACACACACAGAGACAGACAGACAGACACACAGACATACGGACAAGATTGCAAAATTATGTTTTTCCGTATCAGTGAGATGTAAAGCGTCGAGATTTTTAAAAATCTCGATTTTTTTTTGTACGATTACAAGACTTTCTCTATACTTCGTATAATTGAGAAAGTAAAAAGTGCTTTAAAATAATAATCGACGCTTACGCAAATAATTTCAATTTTTATACAAATGAAAGAATACTTACTTATGAAGTCACACAATACCAATAATTATGTGAACAAACAAAGATTTCATTTTATACCAGTTTCAAAGTCACCTATGAAGGTCGCCGGTTATGACTTGTTACCGTAAGAAATTATGTTGGTTGCTGTTTTTTGGCTGAGATATCATTTTCTCGGAAAGTAATGCCTGCAGGCCTACTTCGTAATCTAGTTGACCTTTGCTTCGTTAGTTCCACGCTCAGTGTTTCTTCCAGACTTTTTTCTCCGGGTGGCGGGGGGGCGGACACTGTGAAAAATATATTTTTTTCTATATAAATTTCATTTCGTTCGAGGGTGGGGGGGTAGACTTTCTTTGCGGGGGGGGGCACTTGAAATTTTCGGGGGGGGGGGCGGTAAACTTTCTTCGGGGGGGGGGGGCGGACACTGTTAAAAGTATATATTTTCTATATAAATTATATAAATTTCATTTGGTTCGGGGGGCGGTAAAAAAATTTCGGGGGGGGGGGCTTGCCCCCCCCCCCCCCCCCCCCCGAAGAGATGCCTGGAAGAAACTCTGACCACGCTTAGTAACACTTTACAGTCACATGCATAAACACAATCTCGCACATATACATACATATTGTTTTCCATTGAATTTGGATACGCCAAGAACCTTATTTACATTCAGATAGATAGTACCTTATAATCAGTTGCCATTCTAAAGTCATTCTTCTTCTTCTTCTTCGTTCTTAATTTTTGACTATGGTGGAGGATTCAGACAACAAGTCCAACTTCATGGACAAACCGGACTGTGGTTTCCAGTTTGTCAGGTGTCCCATATAATTTTTCCCTGAGTGTGGTGGGCTGGGGCCAGTGTCTGCCTCTTGCCTGGCTATACAGAGTACAATCCTGGAGTACGTGCTCCGTGTTTTCCGGGGCCTTGCCACAAGGGCACATTTCGCTACACCCAACCTTCAGTTTTTTGTGCATGTGTTGATTTAGTCTGTTGTGGCCTGTTCTAAGTCGAAAGATTATGTATTGTTGTTTTCGTGTTAAATTGTAATAGCCGTCGTCTTTAATGTAGTGAGGGTGTGTGACAGACCACATTTGCGTTTGTTTGTGTTTAATTATTCTTTTTATTTCTTTTGGGTGTAGTGAAATTTCCGGTTGTGGTTTCTTTCCCCCAATTTTTGCCAGCTGGTCTGCGATCTCGTTACCCTGGATCTGGCAGTGGCCCGGGATCCACTGCAGCACAATTCTGCTGCAGGTATTTTTTAGCCTCTCTAGTGCTGTCATGAGTGTTTGAATATAGGACTCCGTATTTTGTAGGGATTGCAGGACTGATTTGGCATCTGTAAGAAATACAATCTGACTATTCGGTGATTCAGGGTGTTCTGACAGGAGGTTTGCTGCGTGTTCTAAAGCTTCTTTTTCTGCCCTAAAATCTAAAGTCATTGAATATTAAGTTATATCTTAAACCATATTCAGGTAGGGGAAATCTATCATAGAAGCTCTTCATTTTAAATAAAAGTAATGCATTTAAACACCCTTACACCACCTTCCCCCACGTCCCCCACCTAATACTTATATAAACAACTTGCACGAATTTAAAAAAATGTATGTCGGGCACGAAACACGCTGACATTTATTTATAGCTTGGTTGTTCACGTAAGCGTTTCTAATAGATCTTCGAATAGATTAAGTTGGAATTTTATAACACGTAGTTCGTGTTGTGCAGTACACAGCTCTTGATGTTATCTTCATTTTCTATCACACCATTAAATCATACATTTTCTTAGAAAAGCCAGGTGCCTACGCAGGAATTTGAAGTAGGCTGAACAGCAGAATGGTGTATTGTACAATTTTACAATATGGTTGGACTTGGATAGTCATTGTCGGTATTTATAGAGAGGGACCCAGCGCCTACTACATTGAGACGGTGTGGTCTGGTGATAGAACATATGACATTGTGAATGTGGTTTCCTGCTGACTTGCTTATTGAGAGCACTGGAGTTGTGTCATGGTCTGGTGCAGAGGCGTAGCGAGGGTAGGGCGGGGGGTGCGGACCGCACCGGGTGACACCATTTAGGGGGGTTACACCAAGGCAAAAAAATAGCAAAATATATAGAGAAAAATGATAATTCCACTTATTTAAGTGATTAATTCGAGTGTTAAATAGTCTTTTAAGAGGTGCAAATCGAAAGTTTGAGGGGTGGGATGCAAATCGAAAGTTTGAGGGAGGGGGTGCAAATCGAAAATTGAAAGTTTGTCACCGGGAAGGGTCGCTACGCCTCTGGGGGGTGACACCATTAAGTGCCGCACCGGGTGACACCCGACCACGCTACGCCACTGGTCTGATGTAGATGTATGAAAATATTTATCCGGCCTAAAATGGTCACGTATGCTAGTGACTAACTTACAATTTTATTATATTTTTGAAGTAAAAAACAAAATGAAATTCAGTCAGTTCAAAATTTGAGAGAAAATAATAATACCTGTAACATGATCTATAAAAACACTTTTTTCTAATACTTAGTAAAAGGACTCAAAGTATATAAAATGATGGCTTATTTAGATGTATCGCTTAGATTAAGTATAATTAAACGATTAATTACTTTTAAGCTTCTTGAAAATAATCTATTGTTTTTACCGGTTTATTTGTAACAGCTGTTTCTTTAGGGTCAATCAAGCCCGATCTTATTTCAAACAGCTCATTCTTCTCATACTTTTTATACGATTAAAATCTTTTTGTTCCAACACTAAAACATCTGAAGTACATCATGAGACATAAGGTAGAGCGCGCGATTGGCAAGCCTAAAAATAGCACGTCTGGTGGCGGCTCTGACGTCAGTGGAACGTCTCGCAGGCTAAACAGCTCCAGTGTGTACATGGCATGTTCGTGGAGCGGAAGTCAACTCAGCACTAATGGGTACCTGGCATGTTCGTGGAGCGGTAGTCAACCCAGCACTAATGGGTACCTGGCATGTTCGTGGAGCGGTAGTCAACTCAGCACTAGTGGGTACCTGGCATGTTCGTGGTACGGTAGTCAACTCAGCTCTAATGGGTACCTGGCATGTTCGTGGAACGGTAGTCAACTCAGCACTAATGGGTACCTGGCATGTTCGTGGAGCGGTAGTCAACTCAGCACTAATGGGTACCTGGCATGTTCGTGGAGCGGTAGTCAACTCAGCACTAATGGGTACCTGGCATGCTCGTGGAGCGGTAGTCAACTCAGCACTAATGGGTACCTGGCATGTCAATAGAATTTAACAGTCCACTCAGCTCTAAAGGGTACCTGGCATGTCAATAGAATTTAACAGTCAACTCAGCACTAATGGTTACCTGGCGCTCAATAGAATTTAACAGTCAACTCAGCACTAATGGGTACCTGGCGCTCAATAGAATTTAACAGTCAACTCAGCACTAATGAGAACCTGGCGCTCAATAGAATTTAACAGTCAACTCAGCTCTAATGGGTACCTGGCGCTAAATAGAATTTAACAGTCAACTCAGCACTAATGGGTACCTGGCGATCAATAGAATTTAACAGTCAACTCAGCACTAATGGGTACCTGACATGTCAATAGAATTTGCTGGTCAACTCAGCACTAATGAGTACCTGGCGCTCAATAGAATTTACTGGTCAACTCAGCACTAATGGGTACCTGCACGACAATAGAATGTAACGGTCCACACAGCATTTAGATGTCCAATCTCCATTAGAGCACGTCCCCCCCCCCCGGCAAACCCTCATATTGGGTGATAATAACGGCGATGTGGGACGGTAGAATGGTAAAAATATATCCCCTGGGTCGTATAAATGAACGATTCGTTTATATTCAGCAGTTGAAAGGATCCACGTCACTCATTTTTGGGAATGTCGTGTAGGGTGGGGGTGTGGTTATTTTACATGTAGAACTGTTGGTGTGGGGTTTGGTCTACTCCGTGTGTGTGGGTGGTGTGTGTGAGTGTTGGGGTTCCGTCTACTCAGTGTGTGTGTGGTGTATGTGTGTAGTGATGTGTGGGTGTGGTGTATGGGAAGTGGTGTGTGTGTGTGTGTGTGATGTGAGATGAGTGCTTGGGTTTACCTTGTGTGGTTGCTGTTGTGAGGTATGGACAATGGTGTGCGGGATGTGGAGTGTGAGATTTAATGTGTGTTTTATGTTGTGGGGTGTAATCTTGCTTGTGGGTTGGGGGCGTGGTTTATGATGTTCTGTAGGTTGAGTTACGGTTTATTATATCCACTTGTGTTATTCTTTCCCCTTAATTTTTTGTAATCCCCCATTATAATATCAATTTCACAAGCATCAAACACAAAACAACAGTTTTGTCCTATGTTTAGTTATTTTATTTTCAGTTCTCCAAAAAGTACATTGAAACGTTTTAAACCGTAGGTGGTAATTATAAATTATGTAATTAATATCTTGATCCTACCGACCCTTGGAAAAATTCCTGCGACAATAGGGGTCCTAAGACCTGCTTCTGATCTTTAATAAATGCGCCTTGCTCTGCAGGAGTTATACGGATTAAAATAATTGATCTGAACTTTTTAAAAAATGTTTTAACAGGATTATCGATAATCTTATGAGATTGTTTACAGCCTTAGTATCGAATGGGAGACATGTGGTAAAGATTACATTTCTCAAATAGAAACTTGAGTAGATTATTTTTTTAAATACAAGCAAGGCCCGTTGGTCTAGGGGTATGATTTTCGCTTAGGGTGCGAGAGGTCCCGGGTTCAAATCCCGGACGGGCCCAACCTTTTGAGATTTTTTTTTTGGTTAACCAAATACTGAAAAAGAAGCCTCAACTGTTCGTTTACTGTCCTAAATTGCTTGCATTACTTTTAATTTTTTATTTGATTATTTTTTTCTAACTCAATGTAGGCTTACTTGTTGGCTGGTTTCTGTAGAAGACGCGGGTATATCAGTCTAGGTAGTCTTCTGTCATGGGCCATTTTCTCAACCTGACTCACGTATAAAACATTTTTGTAGTTTCAGCTTCTAGGTGTTTCTCGGTCGACCTCTTTTGTGTTTTCCTTGTGTGTTCTACCTCAACGCATGCCTGGTGAAATTGATTGGTGGCCTGCACGGTGTGTACCTTATTAAACCCCATTTAATTTTCCTACGTTGTCTGTGCGATGCTGATGGTGTCGTGGCTGCGGGTCCTAAGTATTTGTCTTGGACAGCTGTTCATAAAGGTCTAACTTTATCAATGGTCGTCTTGGTCATCTTTCAAGTCTCCGCCCTCCAAGCCTCTGCCCCACACAGCAGCGATGATGTAACGTTGGAGTTAAACATGCGCACCTTGTTCTTTAGCTGTGTGAAGGCTGATGCTGCTTAACCTATCCCTGCTGCTTTTACTTACACAACACTACCTAAGTCGGTGATTTACGGCCCTTTCCTCCAAGGGGACGCTACCAAGTGTTGCTTGTTTAGAGTAAAAGTAAAGTTAGCTTTGGAACCTAGCGGTTTTTGGGGCAAGTGAAGTAGAGTTGACTAGTTTCTGTGACCTCGGCATATAATGGGATAGTGTGGTCAGCACTATAAGGCTGGTAAGAGGTCACCAACCAGTTCTACGGCTCAATAAAACCTGCATGAGCCATAGAACTGTTTATTGAACTACTTACCAGCCCTATACCCAGCCGCCTTTACTTTCCTTAACGTGAGTTAGGTACCCAATAGAGCTGGGTGAACTCAGGGACGTTCTACTGACTTGTCCAGTGTGAGTTACATCAATCTGTAGTACTTTTGTCTTTCGCTTGTGGATGTTGAGTCCAACCTGAGCGGACTTTTTCTGCCACAATGTTTGTCTTCTGCTGTTGGTTGTGGAAGAGGAACGCGAGGTCGTCTGCAAAGTCCAAGTCGTCAGGCTGTTTCCACAGCGTCCTCTGGATTCTACATCTACATTTTCTGGTTGCTCTCTTCATTATCCAGCCGTAGACGAAAAACACATGCTGACGGCAGGCATTATTGACAGCCTCCAGTTTCCACCTGAATAGCTTTGTAACCTGCACTCCATGAACTACTCAACAGGACGTCCTCTCGTGTATTTTTTACTATTTTCATTGGAATGTCCTTAAGACAAACCCTTCGGTGGATTAATTAATTTAAAACGTGATGCCCTCGTCTATCAAACCTTTATATACTGTACTTGTGGGTGCTCCGGTCATCTTTACCGTGTTAGTGAACAAGACTTCTACCACCACAATGGCCCACATCATCAAAGTTTGTCTGCTGCTCATTGCTGTTGTTGTTGTGTCTGGTGAGTTTTATTTTAATCTGCTGTTTTGTATACACCAGTATTCTGCTTGCCTACAGTAGTAGAAATATTCTTTTAAAAAATTTAGCGCTAGGTTTTTTTTCTTTTACAGCTGGTGAGTTTTATTTTAATCTGCTGTCTTGTATAGGCCTACACCAGTATTCTGCCTGCCTACAGTAATATTCTTTTGAAACATTTAACGCTAGAATTTCTTTTTTTTTTCTTTTATTGTATTGCTTGTATTACTCTGTGGAAACCACTTCTTTTAAAATACCAGCTGACAACAAATTCTCCGTCCTACTGTAGAAGCGATAGAGCGCTAGGCTGCTAACCTGAAAGTCTCGAGTTCGACCCCAGGTCAAAAATTAGTAGAACGTCCTTGAGTCTGCCCAGATCTAATGGGTACCTAACTCGTGTTAGGGAAAGTATTAGCGGATGCGCAAAACGCAGACCACACCTTTCGTTCATTTCCCGAGGTCAGGTAACATGAACTCTACTTCATCTGCCCAATGAATCGCTAGGTCTAAAGAGGATTCTTTTATTTCACTTACTGTAGAAGCTATATTTTGTCGTCCCACTAGGCATAATGAAGAAATTTTCCTGCATTCTCACTAGAACAAAAGAGGTCGTCACCTTGTCGTCGCATTAGATATATGTAGGCTACCCTGTCGTCGCATTAGGCATAAATCATAGGCTACCTTGCTGTTGCATTAGGTATATATGTTACCCTGTCATTGCATTATGCATAAATTAAAGGCTACCTTGCTGTTGCATTAGGCATAAATTATAGGCTACATTGCTGTTGCATTAGGCATAAATTATAGTCTCTCTTGCCATCGCATTAAGTATAGAGTCTCACCTGTCGTCAATTTTATATATTATTGGAGCTTGTAAAAAGTGGCGCAACTTTACTCTTAACGGGTGTACTTTTTGCTTTAGCAGCGGGGCTTATCTAAAAAAACACCCAACGTTTTTTATTTTTAAAATTTTTTCTCCACAGAAACCGGGATCATCCCGAGCTCGAACTGCCAACCACTGCGGCGATGTGTCCTGCCTGACATGGAACATGACAGCAACAGCTCGTACTCCTACTTCAACAACTCATTCTTTGAACCCATCTGTCAGTGAGTGGAGGTTTCTCTTGAGACCAACTGCAAAATTTTCAAAGGAAAATAAATAACGGGAGGGGGGGGGGATGACACAATGAGGAGCCGCACCGGGTGACACCCGACTTAACGACGCCATTGACCTTAATCCTTAGCCCAATTTTCACTTAACCACAACTCTATTCCTGATCCTAAACTTTAAAAATGGCCAAAAAATTTCTGCCGTTACCATGCTAATGGCAGCCGTCTTGGATTTTATATACCTTTTAACATCGAACTAACTCAAAGATGGCTTATGTGAATTAAAAAAAAACTTACAGGATTATAGAGATAGATGTTGGTAGCAAATCTGATAGATCATATTTTCAAATTTTAAATTACTTTTGTTTTTACATTATTTTTTTTCTGATTATTTTTTTTAAATCGAAATTTGTAACCGGTCATGACCGCAAATCGGAAGTGAGGTGGAAGGGGGGGGGGGTTGCAAAAATTACCAGAGAGTTAGTAATTGATAACAATTTATTATCTACTACCTGAAGATACACAAGCGCACAAACTAAAACGTAAACTTTAACAAAACAAATGTATTATTGAATAATCCGCTTCATCACTAAATGTTAAATTATGTTGGTGATAAATGTCGAGGTTTACGGGAATCACGTGATCTGTCCCCAGAGATCTGGACAAGTACAAAGCTTGTGTGAGGGCCGCTAAAGACAGGTGTAAAGAAGTGCGACTGGTCATCGAAAAAAGAGCCCACGCCGCCTTTGCAAGTTTATTCTGCAGCGAAGATGGAAAGCAAGGTGAGTACTTAATCTCCGTCTGAATATGTCATTTTACTTTTCTACTAATTAAGCTTGTGTGTGTTTCCGAAAAGGAATATAATAACGCATACGGTACTTTTAGAAATTACAAGATACTCATCATCAATATCATGATAATCAACAACAAAATTAACATTTATCATCATCACCATGAACATCAGTATCATCATAATCATCATCGTTTCCATCATTCCCCTACACCACAAACACCACCAATCCACCGTAAATGGTTATATGTGATTCCACTAAGTTCTGCCCATAACATTCCGACCGCATCAGCTTCCCTAACAACTGATCTTCCCCATATTCAGTCCAGCATCTCTGCCATTCTCTTTCCTACATCTTATAAGCACTAAAAAATTTGAATATGCCATCAACTTTTGGTTCATCAAATGGCCTCCAATATCTAGCCGTTGAAGAGTTCCAGGCCAACAATTGCACTACTGACATATTCAAGATGAGAATGTTGGATGTCACCAATTATTTCTGCTCGGAGCCTCTGGAACTTCTGTCACAAGAGTCGGGAGTCACGTGCTGGTAAGGTATTGGGATATACACGGTAGGAACTAACTCGAAGGTAAGTTAAACTAATTTAGACTATCGTGTGGGTAAGTTAGATTATCGTGTTGGTAAGTTAGACTATTCTGTAGGTGAGTTAGACTATCGTGTAGGTAAGTTGGACTATTGTGTAGGTAATTTAGACTAAGTTAGACTATCGTGTAGGTAAGTTAGACTAAGTTAGACTATTGTGTAGTTAAGTTAGACTATCGTGTAGGTAAGTTAGATTATTGTGTAGGTAATTTAGACTAAGTTGGACTATCATGTAGGTAAGTTAGACTAAGTTAAACTAGTGAGTAGGTAAGTTAGATTATCGTGTAGGTAAGTTAGACTATTGTGTAGTTAAGTTAGACTATCGTGTAGGTAAGTTAGAATATTGTGTAGGTAATTTAGACTAAGTTGGACTATTGTGTAGGTAAGTTGGACTAAGTTAGATTACCGTGTGGTAACATTAAGCTACTTACATTCTAAGCTTGTATATATTGTGTAGGTAATATTCTTTTACTGAAATATCTATGTTTATCTACAATGAACAAGTATATATTGAAATGAACAAGGTAAACATAAAATAAAATTACCATTTGAAGTAAGCATACGACCCATGATTTTAGGTGAGTCTTTTATTATCTGTTTAGATAGATTAAGAAAGATAATTAAAATATGATATTATTTTCTCGATGTGTATGCTGTGATACAACATTAAAACTGACTTGTAAAATTGTATACCACATTCAATTTGACTTGTATACTTGTGTTCAACTTTAAACCTGAATTTTATACCAATAGGCGAGCGTAAGACGTGTATACTTTTGTAAAATATTAACTTTAACTGAATACCCTTATAGTACTTTATACAACTTAAGTATGGCTGGGTTGGATTGTAGAGCATAAGACTGCTAATCCAAAAGTTTTGAGGTCATATCCTTGAGCCAACTAAACAATGATAGTTACTTTACTCACGTTAGGGAAAGTAAAGGCGACTGGGCATAGTATTGACCACACTATGCCGAGGTCCATGAAACAAGTGAACTCTACTTCACCTCACCAATTGACCATCAGGGTACTATACTTGGTTTTTCTATTCACCAATAGACTTACCTGCCACATACAGTCTTTGCATTGTGTTCCCCAGTGCCTTGAATACGACCTGGAACTGTTTGAAGTCTCATGCTACAAGGGAATGTGGCGCCGCAGGGGGACAACTCTTCGCCATGGCCAACACCATAGACCTGGCTGAAGCCTACACTGATGACCTCTGCGACTTTGACAAAATTTAGTCATGGGGGACAAGATTTTTAAAATAACCTTTTAAAAGTCTAATTTTTTGGAAAGAAAAAAAAATGATTTACCTTATAGGTGTGAAATATGTTGTTTAACATTATTAAATCTGCCTTCTTAAAATATGGGAGAAATTTGAAGCAGAAAACGATTCATTTCGTGACGTAAAAAGAGCACAAATAAATAAAATGCAACAAAATGCTAACTAGAAAACTGTAATTTGTATTTAAGATGTTAAGAAAAGCTTAAATTTTTAAATTATCATCACATTTTCAGCAATTATTGTTTTAAATACTATTTGGAAGTAAAATAAACGCATATTTTTTAAAAATTCGTATTATATAAATTTCTGTTAATATTATGTTGTTGTTATAAAATTTTATCGGTTCTCATTAAATCGTGAAAGAGTTTTAGTCTATTTTAAGTGTGGGTATCATTATCCTTACCCTAACTAATGACGTAATGAAGATCTAGACCAGTGCAAAACTCGTCTGGTTCTCGTTTGGTGGGTTTGAGATCAAACATTCGCATCTAAATCAAAATACCTTTCATAAATTGTATGCGTGGTTCGACATTTTATACAAGCCTGACACAACACAATATTAGGCTGATGTGCTACCTTCACTAGGCGCTCAACAGAATTTTCTAGAATGTGAAATTTGCAAGTGCAAACTGACCTTTTTCCAACTAGAATAAGCTATAGACTCAGCTGGTAATGAATGTTATCGAAAGAAGATAATAAAGAATTAAGTAAGTGTTTGCTTAAATCGCAAGTTTAACTTTAAGTTCTAAGGAGTTTAGTGAAAATTTTCAGTAAAAGAACATTAGAATATTAATTTACAGTATACAATTGTAAAGTCTCATGTATTAGGACATTACAAGACAGTTTACTGTACTAGGGGCAGAACACTTAGGTTCCATTCACGTACACCCCGTTGGCAAATTACCAAATGTAGACCTTTCTAAAGTAATGTCAAAAGCGCCTAATTGCTTGCCAGTGAATGCTGGAAAGTAACCACCACCACCAGCAGATCACCTGACCCTTTCCAAACAAAGTGCTGGTGAATTATAAAAGGCATCCACTGACCCGTCACTATCGAATGATAGACGACTGGGAGAGATGGAAATAAGAGCAGTTTCCGATATAGTCGGGAAAAAAAGTGGCGCTGGCTGGGACAAATTTTAAAAATAAATCCAGATCACATTACAGGAATGGAGTTTAGTTGGACACCTCAATGAGAAAAGCATAAATGGAATGCACAGCAAAACAACAAAAACAAAAAAAAAACAACAACAACAAAAAACTGCCAAGAAAATTGCAAGGGGCCGGCAAAGCTGAAAAAATGTTTCTGTGGCACCCCGTGTGTCTTGGGCAGCAAAAGGAAATATGACAGTGAATTATTCGGGCTCTTTAATTATTGTTTGGGGAATTTAGTTTCTTTCTTCTGTTAAATGATATTTTAGAAAACACTGAATAATAGCGTTTACCTATTTCAAAATATATGGTGCTTATTTTTGGGCTTAGTGTTTAAATATTATTGATTTGTGGTATAACTGGTATAACTGGGTTGACTTGTGGTATATCTGGGTTGACTTGTGATGTAACTCGGTTTACTTGTGATATAGCTGGATTGACTTGTGGTATAACTGGGTTGCCTTGTGGTCCTATTGAATTAAAGTACAATTCTGCGTTAAATTATGGTCGTCATTAGTTTAATCTTTGCTAATCAGGGCGTTAACCAAAAATAACGGGCCCGTCCGGGATTTGAACCCGGGACCTCTCGCACCCAAAGCGAGAATCATACCCCTAGACCAACGAGCCGTTGTTTTTTCAAATCTAGTTTTAATATTTTAAACTGTTGCAACCCTCTTTAGTCCATCTGTTACATCTTAATCTCACCTTTTAATATTTTCAACTTTCTTTTACCAATACTCTCATGCATTACAAGCTGTTTCTCTTGGCTTAAGACTTTTCAGCCACTAAATTTTGTATTGGAGTCGACAAAGCGTTAAAGGACACAGTGTTAATTATATTCTACTAGAGCTTGGCTTAAAATAGGTTGGTTTAATGAGATGCTAATCAATACGACAAATCTTCACATGATCTCTGACTTTACAGAACTAGGGGCAGAGCACTCAAGATCCATACTTGAAATTTTTTTCCCCATTAGCGAATTGCCAAATGTAGACCTTTCTAAAGTAATGTCAAAAGCGTCCGACTGCTTGCCTGCGAATGCCGGAAAGTAACCACAACAACCATATAACTGGGTTGACTTGTGGTCCTATTGAGTGAAAGTACTATATTGCGTTAAGTTATGGTCGTCATTAGTTTAACTTTGCTATTCTGATTAATCAAAATGGCGTTTACCAAAAATAACGGGCCCGTCCGGGATTTGAACCCGGGACCTCTCGCACCCAAAGCGAGAATCATACCCCTAGACCAACGAGCCGTTGTATTTAAACTTCTATTACTGTGTATTTTATAAGTTCTTAGACGCCAGACTCCATCTGTTACATCCTAATCTTATTCGAACGGTCTATGCATCGGCTTATATTTGTATGACAGCTTGCAGCCGTCGTTGAAGAAAGAACAACTTATCACAACGGCCCAACCGATACTCTTTTCCAACCTAGCCCAAAACATATGGATTTTGTCATTTTCTTTTCTTTCTTCTTAGTCGTTCTTCATATTATATCGGTGGAGCTAGATGAAAAGTTCAACGTCGTGGACAAAATGGACGGTGGCCCCCTGATCCGCAAACTCCCACATACAGGTTTTTTTTTTCTGAGTTGGATGTATTGGAGCCGGTGACCCGTCAAAAGAGCGCACGACAAAAGAGCGCCGACATAAGAGCGCAGACAAAAGAGCGCCGACATAAGAGCGCCGACATAAGAGCGCAGACAAAAGAGCGCCGACATAAGAGCGCTGACAAAAGAGCGCAGACAAAAGAGCGCCGACATAAGAGCGCAGTCAATTAAAAAAACACATGTTGTACGCTAAACGAATATGACATGGTTAACACTTGTTTTAATTAAACAATCGGCGAGAAAATAATGTTTTTATTTATATATGATGGTTAATATGTTATGAATGCAGTTTGAAAATATTTCTAACCCAAGTAACATGGAGAAGATCGAATCAGAGAAAGCGAAGGCTACAGATATAGACAGGACAGAGCAAATGCTGATGTGAGAACGACATGGAGATGCTGCAAGAAAGATGGCTGACGAGGACGGATGAAAATGCTGAACGATGTTGTTCTGTCATCATCAGAACACAATCACGATCTTGATCCGGGTAAAATTGAAGCAGCTAAAGTTGTTTCGGCTATACGAACACGGGCAGTGGAAGGGGGGGGGGGGGGGGAAACCAAGGCAGATTATACAACAAGCCAGAGAAGGAATTTCGATGGAAGGAGCACCTCATTTGCCGGCATACGTCGCTTCACAACGTGCAATTGAAAGACAGAGAAAACGCAGCTGCCATACCCAAATTCACAGAACGTTGCAGAGATAACAATTCCTGAACCTCTTCAAACGACAACCAGACAATGGGGTATAGCCTACAACTTAGCAATATAAATGCAACTATAAAGAAACGTTTTATTAATTTGAACTTATTTTCATTTTGTTACATTTCATTTCAGTTTATATCCTCACTTTAGGCCTATCATTTAAAATCTTTGTATGTGTTATTAGATTGCGTTTTGAATAATTGTACCAGTTTTTTAGTTAAAGAAACTAAACAATTAGTTTTTTTAATGAAACAATAAAGAGTTAACACCAAACAATGCCTTCTGATCTGAGTTAATTTTCTTGTTTTTATTTATTAAATATGGTTTTTCGATTTTTAGTTTGCGCTCTTATGTCGGCGCTCTTTTGTCGGGAAATTAGTGCGCTCTTATGTCGGCGCTCTTATGTCGGCGCTCTTTTGTCTGCGCTCTTATGTCGGCGCTCTTTTGTCGTGCGCTCTTTTGACGGGGTGCCATTGGAGCCAATGTCTAGACCGTGCTTGATAGTACAGGCTGCGGTCCTACATAATGTGTTCTGTGTTCTCTTGGGTAACGCTATAAGGGCAAGATTTGTCTTGGTCAACTTTTTAAAATTCTCATTTAAAATAGCTAGAAAAACAACAGACAAAATAAATAAACGAAACAAAAATTTAATTGGTGACCATGTAGTTTTATTTATCACGAGCTATCCCGTCGGTCCCATTTCTCCCAAACAGCTGCCAGAAATAAAGCCTGAACTTTGAACTCATGTGGTAGTAGACCAATATGTTGACCGTGCTGCTGGTGGCCTCGAGTGTGTTGAGGATGGACCAGGACACCAGGAACGTGTTCTGCTCCCTCCCCACCACGCTGTAGTCTGGGGAGAAGTGGATCATCAGGATCAGGTTCACGGCGCTCGGCAGAAAACACGCGATGAAGATGGACGATATTGAGGTAACCATTACAACAACTCTCTTATCCCGGGTTGAAAGGGAATTTTTATTGTTCTGATCGCTGGTCGCAGTTTGACGCCATCTTGATTTTAGAAGCAAGTTGTGGATGAGAATTATCGTGCACAGGATGACGAGGACGAAGGAGGTGAGTTGCGCGATGACGGTGATGGAGAAAGAAATGTTTTCAACGTCCGGACCCCCGGTAGCGTAAACGAGACCTAAAACTGTGCGGTTGCGTTCGGCGAAGTATTTCGGCCCAATGCTGATGACGCAGAAAACGGGTGTCACGCAGGCGAACATGAGGAGGAAGATCCCAAACACGGTGTAGAAGGTTCTTCTGGGGGTGATGATGTGCTTGACCTTCAGGGGCAAGGCGATGCAGAGGCATCTTTCAAACGTGATGAAGGCGGTGATCCAGCTGGTGATTCGAGCGAAGCAGACGTGAGGCCAGCCTGGGGAACACGACAAAAAGGTCTTTGCTGTAGCTCTCAAAACTTGATTGGTTTAACGCTCGTAAGATGTAATACATTACAGAACATAATTTAATTTAGAAAAATTTATAACATAATTTAAAAAAAAAACTATAGTTGATACTAAAATACGAGTCAAGCATGTAGCACTTGATATTTACATATGTGGCTCAACTTATCAATTTTATTTTATGTTCTTAGAGTCCCTCTATTTTCAATACTCGTGCTTAGAACAAAAGCTTGAAAACTACAAATTGGTTTCTTTTTTTAAGAAGTCAATTTCCTAACTCTGTAAACTCTTCCAATTGAAAGAGGATTCGAGCAATTAGCCGGAGCAATTTTTTCATACAATTGACCCACTCCATAACTATAACCTATTCGCCCATAATGTACCCATCACACATTACCCATTACTCACCTTGAATTTACTTACCTGTCCTCCAAGACTTACTTGTCAAATGGCATATATATATATATATATATATATATATATATATATATATATATATATATATATATATATATATATATATATATATATATATATATATATATATATTATTCTCTACGTCACCCAACCATGCGAGACACCACGCACGCACGCCGACTCTCGCCACCTCCCTCGGTTTCCAGGCATTCGCAACAGTGTGTACCCACCCACCCCATTAGGACAACTGTGTCTTTCAGGACGTCTTCACCCGTCACTAAATAGCGGAGTATGGTATAACTGGGTTGATTTATGGTATAACTGGGTTGACTTGTGGAATTACCAGTGTTTCTTCCAAAAGTATATATTTTCTATATAAATGTCATTTTGTACGGGGGGGGGGGGCGGTAGACTTTCTTCGGGGGATGGGGGGGGGGGGGGAGATGCCTGGAAGAAACTCTGGGTGTAACTGAGTTGACTTGTGATATAACTGGGTTGACTTGTGATATAACTGGGTTGACTTGTGATATAACTGGGTTGACTTGTGATATAACTGGGTTGACTTGTGATATAACTGGGTTGACTTGTGGTATAACTGGGTTGACTTGTGATATAACTGGGTTGACTTGTGATATAACTGGGTTGACTTGTGATATAACTGGGTTGACTTGTGATATAACTGGGTTGACTTGTGATATAACTGGGTTGACTTGTGATATAACTGGGTTGACTTGTGATATAACTGGGTTGACTTGTGATATAACTGGGTTGACTTGTGATATAACTGGGTTGACTTGTGATATAACTGGGTTGACTTGTGATATAACTGGGTTGACTTGTGATATAACTGGGTTGACTTGTGGTATAACTGGGTTGACTTGTGATATAACTGGGTTGACTTGTGATATAACTGGATTGACTTGTGAAATAATTGGGTTGACTTGTGGTCCTATTGAGTTAAAGCGCTATACTGCGTTAACTTATGGTCGTCATTAGTTTAACCTTTGCTATTCTGATTAGTCATAAGGGCATTAACAAAAAATAACGGGCCCGTCCGGGATTTGAACCCGGGACCTCTCGCACCCAAAGCGAGAATCATACCCCTAGACCAACGAGCCGTTGTATTTAAACTCATATTACTTTGTATTTTATAAGTTCTTAGACGCCAGTTTCCATCTGTTACATCCTAATCCTATTCGAACGGTCCATGTTCTCGGCTTATATTTGTATGGTACGCCGCTGGTCGGCTCGTAATAATTAGCCTTATTATTTTCCCTTCTTCTACAGAGTTTCTTCCAGGCATCTCTTCGGGGGGAAAAAGCCCCCCCCCCCCCCCCCCCGAAAAATTTTTACCGCCCCCCCGAACGGAATGAAATTTATATAATTTATATAGAAAATATATACTTTTAACAGTGTCCGCCCCCCCGAAGAAAGTTTACCGCCCCCCCCCGAAAATTTCAAGTGACCCCCCGGAGAAAAAAGTCTGGAAGAAACACTGTTCTTCTAGCAAGCCAAACCAATTACAATGTGTCGGTATATACCAAACCTTGACATGTCTATATTTTAGTTCCTGCAACCTACAATTAAGTAACTTAAGTAACGTTTTACCTACAGTTAAGTAACTTAAGTAACGTTTTACCTGCAGTTAAGTACTGGATGTCTTTAGCGTCCAACGGAATGTCAGAGTAATGAAACCAGGGACTGAAGCAGACGCTCATCCATATCAAGGTCAACAGAGATCCAAGGTCAGCCACGGCTAGTCCCAGTAAACTGATGTTGACGGCATCGCTGAACCCCTGGAGAATACGAGCAGGAAGTGACGTCGCTGGGTCGCGAGACACCAGGAATAGTAACAAATTAACTATTTGGATGTGCCATTGTGTAATAATAGCCGAAATGTTAGCAGCAGCAAAAGTAACGGGCCCGTCCGGGATTTGAACCCGGGACCTCTCGCACCCAAAGCGAGAATCATACCCCTAGACCAACGAGCCGTTGTTATTTCACATCCTGTTTTAATAATTTTAAATTTTTGTAACCCTTGTGAGTCCATCTGTTACATCTTAATCTCACCTTTTAATACTTTCAAATTTCTTTTATCAATTTTCACATGCATTACAAGCTGTTTCTCTTGGCTTAAGATTTTCAGCCACTAAATTTTGTATTGGCGGAGACAGAGCGTTAAAGGACACAATGTTAATTATTTTCTGCTAGAGCTTGGCTTGAAATGGGTTGGTTTAATGAGATACTAATCAATGCGACACATCTTCCCATATTCTTCCCATGATCTCTGACTTTCGTTCTAAAGATGACATTCATGTACATATGTGGGGGTTTTTATAGACAGGCTTTTTAGCACAGATTATACCAGTTAAGGTAATGAGCTATATGAACTACAATATGTGCCTAATTTTGAGGTAAATTATTAACAGTGTTTTGAAAAATATAGAAAGTGATTGATGTAAGTCACTAATGAGACGATTTTACGAAAGCTGTTTAAAAAATAACGGGCCCGTCCGGGATTTGAAACCGGGACCTCTCGCACCCAAAGCGAGAATCATACCCCTAGACCAACGAGCCGTTGTAACTATAGTTACTTTTAAATTTTAAAATCTTTAACAAAACAAGTTTTCCAAATCCCAAACATCTGTTACCAGATTGCTTCTAATCCTAGAGGAGTTTTTTTAACACGGTAAAAACATCTTGCAGATGTAGATGTACAATGGCTTCCCCTTTTGGCCACGCCTTGAAAAAAACTCAATAACCGAAGACATTTCACTTTTGGCGACACATTGCAAAAAATCATTGAGACATTTCACTTTTGGAGTGCTTTTATGTGCTTTTGCAAGTTGTCTCCAAAAGTGAAATGTCTTTAATTAATGAGCTTTTTGCAGGGTGTCCCCACTCCAAAAGTGAAATGTCTCAATGAGTTTTCGCAATGTGTAGCCAAAACTCAATAACTGAAGACATTTCAATTTTGGAGATACCTTTCAAAAAATTATAAAGACATTTCAGTTTTGGAGACAACTTGCAAAATCACATAAAGACATTTCAATTTTGGAGACACCTTGCAAAAGCTCATTAAGTAAAGACATTTCACTTTTGAAGACACCTTGCAAATGCACATTAATTAAATACATTTCGCTTTTGGAGACACCTTGCAAATGCTCATTCTTCTTCTTCTTCTTCGTTCTTAATTATTAGTGTTGAAGGGGATCGAGATTTATCTGCCAGTGGGTTTGAACTCGAGACTTTGTTCGAATTTATCAACCATGAGCTTTTTGCCGACTCGACCGCGCCTCCAACACAATTTTAAGCGTTACGTGTCAACTGGTTTTGCGCCGTTGAGGCCATTGACTCCGATTTCAGCCTGCTTTTCTTTTTGGATTTGCTTCCATAGCCTTTGTCCAACCAAGAACTAACTACAAGGCAGCAGTTGTTTAATTTTGGAGTTATCTCTCCTAGAAGAGTGGCTGTCCCCAGCTAACGAGCCTCATCTGCCCGAGGGTTCGAACTCGAGACTTTTCGGTTTAGCAACCATAAGCTTTACCGACTCGACCCCGCCGACCCCTAAATGCTCATTAATTAAAGACAATTCACTTTAGGAAACACTTTGCAAAAGCTCAGTAATTAAAGATATTTATCTTTTATGAACAATTTACATGCGCCAAATCACTTTCGAATGTGCTGTGTAAACTTTGTTAACCTGGGCTTACAGTGGTTTTTGTCCGTGTCTTTTTTACGGTGGTTTTTGTCCGTGTTTTTATTTTCGGTGGTTTTTGTCCGTGTTTTTATTTACGTTGGCTTTTAATCCGGTGGGTTAACATATGATGTTTTTTTTTTACCGTGAAATAATGACCAAATAAGCCTAACGGTTAAACGGTTGACAATTTTGAATGATTTCCCCTTTAACCATTATCTCTCTCTTGTTAAAACAAAATTCTCAAAATACATCGGATAACGCTTGTCAGTTTTTAACACGTGACGTTTAGCAATTCGATGCAGTAGACATTTAGACTATATTTACATTGAAAGTTTGGGAGAAGCGTGAAAATAAAACAGGAACGGTAATTTTCCCTTATTCAGCTGACCACCGCAGGTCATCAATTTCTAGATGACCTTGACCCACCTGCTTGAGGAAGACGACAATGTTGATGACATTAGCCACCGTCCCGCAGACGCTGATGACGCCGGAGAAGAAGAAGAAGAAAACGATTTCGAGGACAATCTTCGCCTCGTCGCTGGTGATCTTGTAGTAGCCAATCACGAGCCAGCTCGTGCTGGTCTCGTCACGTGAGGTCTCGTTAGTCACGTGACCTAAGCCGGCCATAGGGAAAGGTTGTAACAAACGATCTTGAATTAAATAACTCACGACTGATGCAGTTCTAACACTCAGGTGTTGAAAGCCTACTTTAAATAGCCAACTACTAAAATTTACGGTTGAATTTAGCAATGGCTAATTGCTACAACAAATTATTAAAATTATTTTATTTTAAATTAGGTGTAAAGATTTTTTTCTTCAAATTATAGTTTTATTTGAGTAACGAGATATACATATTTAAAGAACGAACGTAGATTAGAGGATTTCGGATCGGTTAATTGCGAGGTTATTTTATCGCAAATATATCGATTTGCGCTCGGAAACATAACGGAAAAAAATTTGAGCGCATAAACAAACACAAGCTTCAGAACAAATAATCTCATTCTACACACTGATTGATTCACACTAAGCAAGTGAGAAAGTAACGATTGATTAATTCGGTGCCCTCACATTTTCGTTGGATATCCTAATTACTAAAATAATCATGCGCAAATAATCTTTTATTTTCGCCATACTTAATGAGAAAGCACTTCACCTCACTATAGTAACGTTGTTACCGATTTCACAATTCGAGTAATCGATCGAGAATTCACACAGTTCACGGAGGGTACGTAATGCTGTACATTTAAATTTAACTTGTAATAAAAACGAGGATCACCAATATTACTTTTAAATTATGGAAAGAAATACATTGTTGTTCTTTATACTTTTATATCTTATTTTTATTGTTTATATCTTATCTGTTCATTAGGTCTAGTTAATATAATTATTAGCGAGTTGCAATAAATAAGGTGTGTGTACGAAATACAACTTCATTCAAATTTGATTTAGATTAATAGATCTACGTATCAAATGCTATGAAATGTATACAATTTTCTCGGCCTAAACTAATACAAATTACTTTAAAAAGTTACATAAATACCATTGAACAGCCCCGCCTTGAAGTGGTTGGATGGCTTGGGTGCCCCAGCGACCCCCAGAGCTATGCCGGCGGGAGCCTAGTGCTCCTGGCAGGTCTAACCAAGTCGGACAGATCTGCGTGGGTAGGGGCCAGACCAAACGATGTGCCCTGGTCCTGTGGGTAGGGGCCAGACCAAACGTTGTGCCCTGGTCCCGTGGGTAGGGGCCAGACCAAACGTTGTGCCCTGGTCCTGTGGGTAGGGGCCAGACCAAACGTTGTGCCCTGGTCCTGTGGGTAGGGGCCAGACCAAACGTTGTGCCCTGGTCCTGTGGGTAGGGGCCAGACCAAACGTTGTGCCCTGGTCCTGTGGGTAGGGGCCAGACCAAACGTTGTGCCCTGGTCCTGTGGGTAAGGGCCAGACCAAACGATGTGCCCTGGTCCTGTGGGTAGGGGCCAGACCAAACGTTGTGCCCTGGTCCTGTGGGTAGGGGCCAGACCAAACGATGTGCCCTGGTCCTGTGGGTAGGGGCCAGACCAAACGATGTGCCCTGGTCCTGTGGGTAGGGGCCAGACCAAACGTTGTGCCCTGGTCCTGTGGGTAGGGGCCAGACCAAACGATGTGCCCTGGTCCTGTGGGTAGGGGCATACCAAACGATGTGCCCTGGTCCTGTGGGTAGGGGCCAGACCAAACGATATGCCCTGGTCCTCCAGGTTGGGGGTTGTGCGATGGGCTAACTACTCGTCCACATAAAACAAAATATAGTTACAGAAACCGAAGCCAAATCCGAAACAAATCCAGTCCTCGGGAGAATCAGGGCTCCACTTAGGAGAAGTATGACGCAATGCTGCCAAATCCGTAAGGAAGCTACAGAGCCGACCCCCTCTTCTTCAACCGAGGAAAACTAAATCCACAACCCCAAAACTACTGTCGCTAAAGAAACCTATCCTCATAGGAACATGGAACGTCAGAACACTATGGGAAGCAGGGAAGTGTGCACAAGCAGTGAAAGAAATGCAACAGTATCATCTTACAGTGCTTGGCCTGTGCGAAACAAGATGGAACACCTTTGGAGAGACAAAATTCCAGACGGGAGAAACACTGTTATACTCGGGAAAGGAAAATGAGGACGACCCACGAGAGGCAGGCGTAGCCTTGCTATTGACAAAGGAGGCAACAAAAAGCCTGATGGAATGGGAACCTGTATCTGATCGAATAATTAAAGCTAGATTTGAATCCAGGTTTCAAAAGACCTCCATTATCATGTGCTATGCTCCTACGAACAACGCAGACGAGGAAGAAAAAGACCGCTTCTACGAAGAGCTTCAGTTGGTGGTTGATAAGGTACCCAAGCGCGACATGCTGATCCTCATGGGTGATTTAAATGCCAAAGTAGGCAAAGACAACAGAGGCAGGGAAATGGAGATGGGAACCAATGGCCTAGGGGAAATGAATGAAAATGGTATCATAAAGCCACCTGGATATCACCAGATCATCATACCGAAAACCAGATTGATCATGTCGCGGTAAGGCGTCGTTGGAGGGCCTCACTGCAGGATGTGAGAGCAAAGCGAGGAGCAGACATAGGATCCGACCACCACCTGGTTGTTGCTAAACTGAAGATGAAGCTAAAGGCGAAGAAGAGGCAACATGAAATTGATCCACGAAGAAGATTTGATGTAAGTAAACTTAAGACGCAAGACAACAGGACAAATTTTTAGGTCACCCTAAAGAATCGGTTTGAAGCTCTACAGACAGAAGTGAAAGATTTTGATTCAGTTGAACACACCTGGGAAATATGTAAGCAAGCCACTATTGAAGCCTGCGAAGAGGCTCCAGGAGGTAGAGCGCCCAACAGGAAGCCCTGGATCACAGATGATACATGGCAGAAGGTGGAAGAAAGAAAAAGCCTAAAGAGCGAACTAAATCAAGCAAAAACACGGCAGCAAAAACAAGCAGCAGCCGCTCAATATAACGAAAAGGCTAAAGAGGTGAAAAGGAAACTAAGAAATGACAAGAGATTGTTTATAAATGAAATGGCAGAGCAGGCCGAAACAGCTGCCAGTAAGGGAGATCTCAAGACGCTCTATGCAACAACCAGAGCTCTGAGTGGGAGGAAAACAAATCCCAACAGGCCAGTGAGGAGCAAAAATGGTAAACTTCTAACGTCGATTGAGAAACAACTGGCACGATGGAGAGAGCACTTCCAGGAATTACTAAACGGTCCAGCACCTCAAGATCCACCAGACCTGGAGCCAGGGGAACCCCTTAACATCAATACCGAGGAAATCACCAGACAGGAAATTCTCAACGCCTTAAATAGTTTGAAGAGTGGCAAGGCATCAGGACCAGATAATATCCCAGCAGAGGCATTAAAACAAGGTGGAGAAGAAGTGGTAAATCGACTTCATAAATTACTTAACTTAGTCTGGAACACAGGACAGGTCCCAACCGATTGGAAAAGGGGCCTCCTTGTGAAGTTGCCTAAGAACGGTGACTTATCTCAGTGTGGAAAATGGAGGGGTATTACCTTGTTGTCCATACAAAGTAAAGTCCTTACCGGAGTTATTTTGGACAGAATTAAAGAGGCGGTTGACCTTAAGCTAAGAGAGGAACAAGCAGGATTCAGGAAGGAAAGATCTTGTACAGATCAAATAGCCACTCTTAGAATTATTGTAGAACAGACGATAGAATGGCAAGCCCCGCTTTACATCTGCTTTGTTGACTTTGAGAAGGCCTTTGATAGTGCGGATAGGCAAACAATATGGAATCTGTTGAGACACTATGGTGTACCTGCTAAGTTAGTGAAAATAATCCTGCAACTTTACAATGGATTTTCATGCCAAGTTAGCCATGCAGGGAAACAGTCTAAAGAGTTCCAGGTCAACACAGGTATGAGACAAGGATGTCTGCTGTCGACCCTCCTCTTCTTGGTGGTTTTCGACTGGGTGACACGCACAGCCTATGCCAGTTCTGGAAAAGGTATTCAGTGGACACTCACGGGGAAACTAGAAGATCTAGAGTTTGCAGATGATCTTGCCTTACTCTCGCACAGGCTACAGGACATGCAAGAAAAAGTTGATGCATTAGGAGCCATCTCGCAGCACGTAGGTCTGAAGATCAACAAAGAAAAGACGGAAATGATGAGAATTAACAATAAACAGGAGGCTCCAGTGACAATAGACGGAAGACAGGTAAATGATGTGCAAGAGTTTGTCTACCTTGGCAGCAAGATCAGCAGAACGGGAGGCACAGAGGAGGACATACGCGCTAGAGTTAATAGAGCCCGCTGCGCTTTCACAGTCCTGCGACCCATATGGAAAAGCTCGGCCATCTCCATTACCACAAAAATTAGGATATTTAACTCTAATGTCAAGGCAGTTCTGCTGTATGGAGCAGAGACTTGGAGAGTCTCCAAGGCAAGCACAGCAAAGATACAGACCTTCATGAATAGATGCCTTAGACAGATACTGAAACTGAGATGGCAGGACAAAGTGCCGAACTTGGAACTATGGAGGAAAGCTAGGTATACACTGGGTTGGATAATTGACCTAAAGTGACCGGACAGTGGTGAATGAAGTTGAGCCCACCCCACTCCCACCCCCCCCCCCAACCCACCCCAAACTGATCTGTTAAGTACATTTGGGAAAACGCGTAATGATGTACCAAAGTACCATGCCGCCAGAAAATTAGCTTTTTAAACGTAACACTCTGTGAATATTGTTTTTGCAATTACCAGTAAAAAGGTGTGTGATCAATACAGTGATCTAACCCATACCTATCACTATGTTAAAAAATTATCTTTAAAGAACACAAAGAAGTAGTAGTTAATTAAAAAATATATGATCTGAACTAAAATACCAACAATTAGTTAAATGTAGGCTGTTATTCCGAATATTTTTCTATTATATCCAAAAAGCGTGGTTTTATACCAACTCTGATTTCAAAAACTTTTATTATGCCGTAATACTTTAGCATTTATGATGACGATATATTTAAATCTGATTATAGACAAAAACATTTTGTAAACACGAATAGTGTTAAACAATTTCATTAAATTCTAAAGTAATTATTTATTTGTTTTGACATTTATAATTAAATGTGTAAATATATACATATTTATATTAAGAGAGTAATAATTTCCCCTA